TGGGGGGTTGTCCTTGCAGTGGCCCCACTGCCCCAGCCCGTGCTCCTCCTCCCTCAGGCCACAGGGACATCCAGATGATCAGCTGCGGGGCAGACAAGAGCATCTACTTCCGCAGCGCCCAGCAGGTAAGATGGAACAGCTGGCTTGAGAGCCGAGGTGGGGGCCTGTCAGGGGTGCCCTCTGAAGCCCCCACCTGCCCCATCAGGCCTCGGACGGACTCCACTTTGTCCGCACCCACCACGTAGCCGAGAAGACCACTTTGTATGACATGGACATTGACATCACCCAGAAGTACGTGGCCGTGGCCTGCCAGGACCGTAATGTGAGGTGAGGAAGTGCCCTGGCCCAGGCTGCTCTGTGGGCAGGTGCCACCTCCCCTGATCTGTCCTCTCGACCAGCGGGTGGAGGGGCCCAGTGAGTGTCGCCTAGGAGTTCGGCTTTCTAGGGTTCCAGGTCGGCAGAGGACTCCCCACTCCCATGGGCACCTGTGTGAGGTGACTGAGAGGTGCAGGTGTGCAGTCAGTCCACCTGCCTTTCCTGGGTGTGAATCTGGTCAGCAGATAGCCAGGCGAGGGTGGGGAAAGCTCAGAATTAGGGGGTCCTGTGGAGGCAGCTGATCCCACATGGATCAAGTGCCCTTTCTGGAGGAACAGCCCTGTGAGCTGAGACTGGGAAGCTGGGCACGGTTTCTCTCATTCCTGTTGGGTTCCAGGCAGCACGTTCGCAGGGTGTGGGCAAGACAAGTGTCCAACGTGAGGGCCTTCCGGCCTGAGGCAGTGTTACATTCCAGGCTTGGGGGACCAACATATCCAGAGCTTCCAGGGGAGGAGAGGGCAGTGGGTCAGGACCCCATAGGCCACACGATGCACTCCCCTCCACAGAGTCTACAACACTGTTAACGGGAAGCAGAAGAAATGCTACAAGGGCTCCCAGGGGGATGAGGGGTCGCTGTTGAAGGTGAGGAGCCGAGCCCCGGGTAAACCCCCCCACAGATACCACCACACCAAGCCCCGACCCGGTCTGCTGGCTACCCCAAACCTTGGTCCTTGGCACCGAGCTCCTGGGCCACTTGGCCCTTATGTTAGACAGGGTTCTCAAGAAAAACAAAACCAGGGTACTTATGATTTTATATATATAAGAGGATAAGTTTATACAGCGAAAAAGAAGACAACAGCTAATTAGTCCACAGCTAATTAGTCCACACAGCAGTACAGAGGGCTCAGTCCAACTCGTGGGATAGTTAATATACTGAGGGCCCTTCCAACGCACGCACGCTGGGCCGCTGGTCCAAGGTCAAGGAAGCAGACAGCAAAGTGACTGGTGGGTGGTGTGGAGTCGGCCTGCAGGCGGCAGACGTAACAAGGTGGGGCAGCCACGGCAGGAAGATGAGATGTTGAGGCGTAGCAGAGGCCAGCGGAGGGGTGTAGGGACGCACAGCAAGGCGACAGGATCTGCCAGGATCCATGGGTTGGCTGGGCCCACAGGTAGCGCAGAGCAGCGAACTCAGGCAGCAGTGTGCTGCTCTAATCACCACTGAGAAAGAGGAGAGCCATGTATCTTGGTAGCCCTGATTGACATGCTAAACTCCGCCCACATGTTCCTATGGGAGTCATGTTGGCACAAAAAAAACGATCACAGCCCTGAAAGGCACACACACTGGCCAGCACCTCTCAGGCTGTCCGAGCAAGGTGGCTTGGGTGCAGGCCAGGAGGACCTTTACTTATGAAGCCCTCCCTCAGTCAGGGAGATGTCTGTGGTTGCAGTTTGGCAGTGGGGTATTGTGGGGAGGATTGGAGAGGGCTAACAGGAAAAAGACCCCCTTTCCAACCACTCGCCATCTGGTGTGACCCCAGACAAGGTGGGGAGGGCTCGGGGCCCCAGAACTCGGGGGGTTACGAGTTCAGTCTCCAGGTCTTGGGCTGGACGGCCTGTTTCATCAGCTGTTCAAATAATGTGCAGATAAAGCCCGTCTCTTCCCAAGGTGCTTCTGGGGCAGCACGACGTTGAGGCACGCACAGTGCTGAGTGCAGGGCTGGGCTGGAGTCGCTGTGGCCTGGGGAAGGTGGGTGTCGGGTCCCTTCCATGCCAGGCCACCAGCACCAGGGAGGTCACATGGGGCTTCTTCCCGACAGGTCCATGTGGACCCTTCAGGCACCTTCCTGGCCACCAGCTGCTCTGACAAAAGCATCTCCGTGATTGACTTTTACTCCGGCGAGTGCGTTGCCAAGATGTTTGGCCACTCAGGTGGGTGGACCTCTGCCGGGCCTGGGCCCTTCCCACCCTGTGCCACTGCCTCCGGACTCAGGCAGCTTCCAACTCTCCTTGCAGAAATCGTCACCGGCATGAAGTTCACCTACGACTGTCGCCATCTCATCACAGCGTCCGGCGACAGGTGAGCCAAGCCTGCGGGGTCGCCGCTGGCAGAGGACGGAGAACGGGTGGCACTGGGCAGAGAACTTTCCAGGCCTCTCCCGCCTTGGGAAGCTGCACTCAAGGGCGGGACCGGGTCATGTCCCCTCTCAGGCAGCCTTCGTTTGCGCCTCCTGTGAAAAGGGTGTGGCGGGAGTCGGAGCAGGAGGTGACCAGCAAATCCCCCTCCCTCCAGTGTGCCCCGGCCTTTCCAACAGTCCCCCCTTGGGTCTTGTGGCCTCCAGAACAGGCCCTGGTTTGTGGAGGGGGGGCCCAGGCCCCAGACCCGGGGTGCAGCATAGCACCGTCTATTGTCCCCACACCGAGTCGGAGGAGGGAGTGCACCCGTGGGCAAGGAGTGAGGTGTGCCCTTGGCGACCCATGTCCACCATGCCCCTCGCTCTTCTGCACCTCTTTGGGCCACAGCTGCGTGTTCATCTGGCACCTGGGCGCAGAGATCACCAACTGCATGAAGCAGCACCTGCTGGAGATAGACCGCCACGAGCAGCAGAGTGGGAAGGACCGCAAGTGGAGCAGCGCCCCCAGGTCCTGGCAGGGCCCCCACCCCCGCCTCCATCTGACCATGTACCAAGAGTGTGAGGGGACAGCGGAGCGAGAGAGCCCTGGGCCCGAGCTGACCGACTGGTGGCCGTGGGGAGGAGGGGCCAGGCACAGACTTAGACTATACACGGGATGGGGGTTTGCACTCTGAACGTCAAGGGCCTGGAGAGCCTCTGAGCGAACTTTGGGGGTTGGGGTTGGAGTTCTGGGGGGCTATGAAACCACGAGGTCAGAGGGCCTCCTGAGCCCCACAGAGGTGCACTCTTTCACACGGGAGATTTCTTGGTTTCTACATTTTTACTCTTTACATGAAAGGCTTTCCTTAAGTCTCCTAAACAAACTAAAAGCAATGCTGAAAGTCAACCCGTCACAAATCCAGTTTCCTGTGGCTGGAGCTCAAGTTCTGGTTTCAGTCTGGACACCGGGTTTGAGAGGCTTTGTGTGTGGGAGGGTTTAGGTTGTTTTCTTTCTCGCTCACCTTTGGATCTGTCCCTCGCTGTCCCCTCCCCCCGGCGCCCAGCCTGCCACTCGGTGTACCTGTGGTGGTATTGTGGGTCTCACACCCGAAGATACCAAGGGAGTGGGACACCCCTGCGACTCCAGGCAGGGCCGGAGCTCCCATCCCCACCCCATGATAAGCATGTCGTAGTGTCCTACACCCCCACGGGGCACATTGCCACCTCCTTTGGGGACGAGAACCCAGAAGCCCCGAGCCATGCCCTGCTCTGCTGTACTTTGTCCCCTTGCTGTGCCTCCTAGAGAGGAGCCCGGCCTCTGCCGCATCTCCTGCACCGATGGGGCTGTGGCGGGGAGACTTTCCAGCACCTTCTTGAACAGAAGCCAAGAATGTGTTTCAGTACAGGACTCAGCCCCCACTCCTCCCATAGCCCACCTCTGCCTCCATGTCTCCTCTGACTATCTTCTTCCCATCCCCTCCGACTTGGCTTCAGGCAGGAGATATACACCTCCATGCCCAGCGAGGTCCATTCCCTGAGCCCTGGGGAGCCACCTGAGGATGATCTGGAGGAGGAATATGAAGCCGAGGAGTTGCTGAAGACACCGTCGAAAGAGAGCTTGTATCCAGGTGGGAAGGGGGTCCACCCAGGGCTTCCACTGAGGAAAACTCCGCTGGAGTTTGCCCACTGTTCTGCATTCTGGGCCTGGCATCTATTGAAGTTCAATAATCTTAGCAGTCAGGACTCTTCAGTGTAATAGTCATCAGACTCTAAGCTTACGCTGGAACCAGACTTTATTGGTTGATGCAACTGAAGTTTGAAAGGACGGACTTCAGGCATGGCTGGATCCAGGAGAGGCAGTATGGTTTCCCCCATTGCTCTCGGTTCTGCTTTTCTGTACTTCAGCTCCTTTCTCAGTCAGACCCTCCCTTTACTGGGCCCCAGAAAGCCCGTTCCCCCAGCTCCAGGTCTATGAGATGCCATGGAAAAGGGAATGCCTCTTTCTGAGTGGCTTAGCAACGTGCTGGGGTGCTGACCCATGCTCCTGGGGGAGCTGTGCGCCCATTCCTGAACCAGTCGCTCTGGCCAGGCCTGATTCAGGCCGCCCCTGAAGGAAGAGGCTTTAGTCCACTTCTCTCGAGCTGCCTGGCCCAAACGGAGGGAGGAGGCCTGAGGGAGTGTCCCCGGAGAGCAAGGTGCAGAACACAAGAGGACCGCGCAGATTCTGTTGTTCAGGCAAAGGGGGAGTCAACCCCGGCCAGCCCCTCGAGGCGCCAGGTGTCCAGAGCGTGGTGGAGGAGGGACACTCTCTTCTGAGAACCTCTCTTCAAGAGGACACTTTGCCTTGGCGGCTTCCTTTGTGTCCTGCTGCCAAGACAGCTCAGCTGGGTGAGATGGGGACAGTGACTCGCACTGGAAGCTCTGGGATGAGCAGTCAACTCTGCCAACCAGGGAGCACAGGAGGCCAGGCTAGAACACATCTTCGTTTCCTGCCCCAAGTCCTCTCCTTTCCAGTGGGTGTAAAGCAGAGGCATCTTTTACCCAGGAACACAGTGGAGTCATTTATTTATTTAAGCCATTTCTTGTTGGGTGCCCCCCCCCCCCTTTCCCACTGTTGGGACTCAGGCGGTGCTATGCCGTCTCTGCCCCTCCTCCCCTCCAGGGGGTGGGGGAACGGGTGGGGGGATTTCTCTAGGATAGAGGCTGAGGAGAATGGCTGGGCCAGGGGGTCCGGGCATCTTCTAGAAGAGAACCCACCTAGCTCCCCAAATCCAGGGACGGCCCTAGCCCAGTAGCCTCTCTGCTCCCGCACACCTTTGCTGACATCTGGTGTTACTGAGCATTTTAATTTTAATTGTGGCCAGTCCTATAGTAAAGCATTGGATGCCGTGATTGAGGCAGGCATCTCTGCAGGCCTTGGGCAAGTCCGGCGTTGCCGCTCGGAAGAACTGCCTGGTGCCTGTTGGGGTGTTGGTTCCCTTTGCATGGACTCTGTGTGTCTCCCCAGATCCTCGGTGCCTGCTGACCAATGGCAAGCTGCCCCTGTGGGCCAAGCGGCTGGTGAGTCTGCTAGGAGTGTGGGACACCCAGGGGCTGGCCGTGTGGGGATGCCTACCCTAATGCTCTCCCTGGGGCCCCCTGCCTCTGGGCTTCCCCCCCCCCCAGCCTCCAGCCTGTCATTCTCCACACGCATATTGTCTAAGCCAGCCCTTGTAGCCTCTGGAGGAAGCAGCAGGCAGCTAGGCAGAAAGATAGCTCTGCCCGTCTTCGGGTTCACGTGCTAGTGAGGAAGGTGGACACCCCAGCCTTTAGTGAGCACACCCCTCAGTACACTGAGAGCTGACAAGCATTATGGTGGGATGGGAGTAAGTAGGGGGTGGTGCGGAGGGGGAGGTAGGCAAGAAAGCACTCAATGAGGAATAGGAAACGGCTCCTGGGAAGATCTTTGAGCCGAGTGCCCAAGCAAGTGAGGCCTGCAGACCTGGGCAAGAACGGTCCAGGCCGACCAAGCAGCCTCCGGGCGAGCGCAGGGCCTCCGAGGCTGAGTGTTGTTAGCATGTTCCAGGAAGAGCAGGAAGCCGAGGGACCTCCGTGGGGGTGAGTGAGGATCTGCCCCAGGGTTAGCAGCCCCCTGAGGCTGCTGCCCACAAGGGACAAAGTGGGGGCAGGGAGGCTGGCTGTGTGGTAATGCAGGCAGGAAAGGTGGCAGTGGCAGCTGAACCTCGGGGAAGTGTGGTAGTTGGACCTCAGACCGTGGCCCTGTAAGGGAAAGAGGCCGAGGTGGCTCCATGGTGGCCTGATAGTGACGATGGGCATGGCAGACCAAGGGCCCGTGGGTGAGAGGCCGGCAGCAGGGTCTGTTTCCAGAACCATGTCAGACCTCGTCCCTTGGAAAAGACCACCCCACTGCCCCTGCTTCCCGTGCAGGAGAAGCCTTGGGTGGAAGGTCACCATGATGCTGCCCCCTCTGCCTACCCCACTCGTCTGCACTCACACTCCTAGTTCAAGTTAGCATTTCAATGTTAGCTCCTCAAGGAGGGGCACCCAGATGTGCCGTCCCCTGCAGCCCAGGGTAGGGCTGGGAGTGCACCCTCGGGCCCCCACCTCCCATGCAGTGTGCCTCGCAAGTGCAGCTGGCTTCAGTGAGGAGAGCGGCCCTCACCCCACAGGCTGTGTCTGAGGCCCGCTACAGGCAGCTCCTTGTTTACTCTTGCTAACTCTGAAGTAGAGGGGCAGTGGGAAAGAGGAAGGCCCACGGACAGATGGACGGATACAGTGGCGGGCACACTGGGCTCAGACATAGGAGCAGTTGTGAGGACGGTCGCTATGACTCGATGGCACCTAGCAACAACCAGCTCCACTGACCCCTGGTGGCAAGTGGGTGGCCATGGAGATGCTAAGCCCAAGGTCAGCAGGTGGAACTCACCAGCCTTTCCGCAGGAGAAGGAAGACTCCAGCCGCTCCCCTAAGGACTGGTTCTACTCTGCCTTAGAGGGGTGCTCCGACTCGAGTGGGCCCGATGGCAGTGGGTTTGGGTTTAACCCCCTGTTGAGGTGGAGGGGCTTCTCTGACCCCCATTTTATAGATCAGGCAACTGAGGCCTAGAGAGAGAAGTACTTTGCCCTGATCCCCCAGCTAGGAATTAGCACATGGCTCGAAGGGAGGCGGGTGTGCTCCCCAGCCATGAGCACTGATCACTGTCTGCAGCAGCAGGCAGGGTGGGAGGCAGGGCCAGGCAGGAGTGGGTAGAAGACAGCAGAGGAGTGGCTGCCCCGCCCCGGAGGTCTATGGAAAAGCCAGGGCTGACAACATGCTGTCGAAATGCAGTGACAAGTACAAGAGACGGTGGGGGAGAGAGAGAGATGGAAGACGATCCTGAGTTTGGAGTTTGCATAACTGGAAGGGATAGCTGGGGAGGGGGCAGAAGAGCAGACATCCTTTCGGGGACATGTTAACACTGAACGAGCTGCTCCAGGCCCTGCCGAGAGAGGAGCTATGTCTGTGCTGGGCTGAGGCTGCAGGGCCAGATCTGGGCTGGAGCGAGACTTCTGGGAGCTGTTTGTCAAGGGCCTGTAAAGCCCACCGACTGAATGAGGCCTGAGCCCGGGCCCTGGCCCTGCTGGAGTTGATGAGGGCTTGGCTGGCTGCCTGACCGCCCAGTCTCCCTCAGCTAGGAGACGACGACGTGGCCGATAGCTCAACCTTCCATACCAAGCGCAGCTACCAGCCCCACGGCCGCTGGGCCGAGCGGGCTGACCAGGAGCCCCTCAAGACTATCCTGGACGCCCGGGACCTGGACTGCTACTTCACCCCCATGAAGCCGGAGACCTTGGGGGACTCCGTCCTGGATACAGTGGAGCCACAGAACCTGGCCGGCCTGCTGGACGAGGTACAGGCAGATGACCTGGCCTGCAGCCCTGCACACTGCCCACCCAGGACTGGAGGCTCAGTGTGGGGTGCAGAGAGGACTACAGGCAATGGGGGGGGGGGGCAGGAGCCCAGCAGGACAGGCAGGGAGCTTTGGGAAAGCCTGGGAGTCCGTTGGTAGTAGATAGCCTGGACCCTAGAGCAGGAGTTGGAGCCCTGGTCCAACCCTTGGTGGCTGTGTGACCTGTCACAAGAAGCTTGCTTGCCTTGCTGGGTCATCCCAGCGCGCTCTGCCGTGTAGAACTTGGATGGCCGTCCAGGGCCTGGGTCCTTAGTGATGCCAAGCACCGTTAGCTCTTACAGTACGATTTGCCAAACCAAGTTCTTTTTTTCATTCTGTTATACAATTAAAAAAATTTTTCTGTATAAAACACAGTAATGAACACAAATCTTAAGTGTAAGTATGCACTTAAATACCTATGTCTACGCTTACAAAAGATTCTCCCCTGTGCCCCTGCCAGTAGGAGCCCCCTCCACCCAAGCTAACAGCATTCTGGGCATGCTCTTTCGCCATGGGCTCCTCTGGCTGTCCAAGAACGCTGCAGGAGTGCTCGCAGGGTGGGCCTCTTAATCCCAGTTTGGGAGCCACACTTACTGCTAATTTGTAACTCAGGGTGGGAACTGGGGGGGGG